TCCTCTGGAGATGAGAGCACATTCTTTACTCCCCTCCCACCATTCCAGTCCATCACACATATTACACCTCTGCTTCACAAATTGCACTGGCTGCCAGTTTGCTTCTGGGTCCAATTCAAGGTGCTTAAAGCCCTTCGTGGCATGGGGCCGGGTTATCTGAGGGACCACCTCTCCCCAGTTACATCAGTCCATCCCATTAGATCTGGCAGGGATGGTATGCTACATGTTCCATCGGCCAGGGACTTGCATTTGGTGGGACCCAGGAGACGGGCCTTCTCTGCCATGGCTCCTTCCTTGTGGAACATTCTCCCTCCTGAAGTTAGGCTCACCCCTTCCCTGCTGTTGTTTAGGAAGTCCCTCAAGACCTGGCTATATCATAAGGCCTGGGGGTCTTTGGGAACAGGAGACATTCTTAGATGGCTCCATTGTAGCTGATATTCTGCTCTCTCCATGGGTTCATATATTTTAACATTTTAAATTTTAATTTTTTTTGATAATGTTTTCATTTTAATAGTCTTTTTATAATTATTGTTTTCATCTATTTGTAATTTTATTTAACTGTTGTACACCGCCCAGAGTTGCTTTGTGTGAGATGGGTGGCTATATAAATATGATTGGAAAAAAAGATCCAGAGGACCATAGTTTCCATCTCATCTTTGTGACTTGGATGTCTTCAGCAGTATCTCCAGCAGATGGGCTCATATAAATGTTAGTACATTCTGTCTCCATATAAGATTACATATAAGGAGACAAAGTGATTAGGTAATCTGTATGTCAAACCCTACCATGGAGTCCTGTTGTTTGGAGCTAACAGAAAACAAAAGTGATGGATCAGATTTTTACCCCACCCAATCAACCTATCTCAAAGATAGAAAAATTGCTTTTTAATATGGAAATTAAATTATTTCTAATTAGTTCAGGAATAGTGTTGGAATGCATTCAAGGATAATATAGGAAGGTGGCTAAGGCTACCTACTGGTGTACATGGTATAAAAATGAAGGTCCACATACAGAAGATGCCCTCTAGATCCCAAAATAACATGATTTATACATATCATTACAAGGTACTATAAAACACATTCACTCTTTGGCAAGGTCCCAAGTTCAATCTCTGGCATCTTTATATTTCACTGGGAAAGATCTCATCCTGAAACCGTGAATAGCCATTTCTACTCCCTGTCAACAGTGCTGAGTTACATAGACTAATAGTCTCATTCAATATACCGCATATTCTTATCTAAATGGAAAGTGAATCTGTAATATTTCCCCACAGTGACAGCTAAATTGTTTTATTTAAATTAGAGGATAAATAGTTTTATTGAAATATAGAGGACGTACATTAAATTCCTTCTTGACTGTTTTATATATTCATGTTTTAAGTACGGTATATATTCATTAAATATTTGCTTAATTCATTTGCCTTTATTTTTGCAATTCTGTTTTTCATGTGATGATGAGAAATTGTGGATGTTTATAGTTGTAAGCCAACTCATTTACTCACTGGAGCTTAAAGGCTACAACAAATGAATTCAAATAAAATATTTTGCTACAAATGGGGATGGCAACTATGGAGTCAACTAGCTTTTCAAAGTTGATGTCAGTGTAGGCATTCGGCACTACTCTTAGAGTCTACTGTTATAAATACATTTGTGTGGTCTTATGGACAAGACAAGGTCTAGAAATTCAAGAAGGCTGTGGGCCCACATGCATCCCCAGGCTTGTCATAGAACTATTCATCTGAGATTGGGAAGCCATAAAGCTACACTACCTCAGGCAGTTGTGACAGTTGTATTGAGCAATGATCCCAGAGTGAGGTCTGAAGACGTAAGATGTAACATCCTTGTGGAAACTAAGGAAGTCTCAGTCTGGTCCTGCCTAATTAGGAGACCAGTTGGGAATGTAGGATATGACTACATTAAATGAAATAATGGAATGAATGAAATAACTGAACTTTGATGGTGATTGTGATATATGTATATATTTGCGTGTGTGTGTACACACCCTATTAGCTAATGATCTTATGTGAATGCCTCTGGATACTAGTTGCTGCAGAAAACAGTGAGCATTGGAAAACTCACATATGAATGTTCAGGACTTGATAGTGTTGTTTTTGTGCAGTATCACTTCATTCTGATTTTAGAAGAAATGTCAATTCTTGGTTGCTTCCTTCCTTTCAGGAGTTCTCTGGAATCTTTCTTCTTGTGATGCACTGAAAATGCCAATTATCCAGGATGCTCTAGCAGTGTTGACCAATGCAGTGATCATTCCTCATTCCGGATGGGAAAATTCCCCCCTCCAGGATGACCACAAAATTCAGCTTCATTCATCACAGGTGCTGCGCAATGCCACTGGGTGCCTAAGGTGAGCTCTGATAGCTAAACTGCTTGATATTTTCTTCCCTATTACTTTCCTGCTGCCATAAACTTGACAATCATCCTTTAGGCACCATATGTGATACAACAATATGCTTTTATACTGTGATTCTTTTATCACAAAATTTTCCCATTATTTGGAGAGATTCTTCGTGACTGTTAATATATACAGGTAGTTCTCACTTAACGGCAGTAATCAGGACCAGAATTTCCATTGCTAAGCAATGCGGTCGTAAAGCACAACATTATGTGACTGCACTGCTTAGCAATGGAAATTCTGGCACTTCCACTTGCCATCATTAAGTGAATCACCACAGGTCATTAAGTGAGGATGTCACATGGTTGCCATTTGCAACATCCTGCTGGCTTTCCCATTGCTTGTAGGAAGCTAGTGGCAATCACATGACGGCAGGGTGCTGCAATGTTGTAATTGCAAGCCAGGTGCTGAGCACCCGGATCACAATCATATACCATGGAGACGCTATGACCATCAGAAGTACAAGGAATGGTAAGTACCACACATTCAGCACCATTGTAAGTTCAAATAGTCACTGAATGAGTGGTCATTAAGCGAGGACCACCTGTATTCTCAATATTCTTCTACACTGGGCATGTACAACTTGTGAGGTATAAAACTCTCCCTACCAGCCATTAGGGATTTAATAATCCTTATTTTCTGCTGCCTGTCTGGGGTTCTAAAGGCATCTAAAGTATCTAATTGATTGAATGCTATTGCCAATTTAGTGTCTAAGTTGTGCAGGCTTGTCTATATCATGTTGATCAAATTATTATGTCTTTGTGTGTGTCATAAACAGTGAAATGGCCTTCAAAACAAAGTTATTTCAGAATAACTTACAGCTCTCTAATATGATTTATTTGTTATCTGTATCCCACCTTCCCCTACAGAAAGTCAAGTCAACATATACTGTATCATATTCTCTCCATCACAATATCAATCCTGTGAGGTATAAAGAGTATGGTGAATGGTGTTGGTGAAAACTAGGTTTAGATCTTTTTCCTTTTCCTTTCTTATCTCATGCTTTTCTCCCTTTCTGCACTCTGCATAACGTCGTTTAGCCTGAAAGGTAATGTAGTATGTTATATATGTACATAAGTATGTACTACTATTCAGAATTTCAATATATTTTCTTGGTAGAAGAGTTAGAAGAGAAATGAGAATATTAAGCTGTGTTGATGAGATAAATCAGTGGTCATGTTTGTTTTCTACCACTGACTGTTTGTGGCAAACTAGTGAATGTAGGATCAAGTTTTTGGTTACTGCCAAAAAAATATTAACACTGTAAAAAAATGTACAAGCTTGGATGCATGCACTTTCTAAACATTGCTTTGGAGATTTAGGAGATTTAGATTACAATCTGGAAAGCCTGTGGAATAGCAATGTACAACTTGGTTTGTTTATTTATAGTTTACAGAACAGCAGTCTCTTACTCTGCATGACAAATAACTTCTGAAATTCTGAAACATTTGTGTAATGTCTATAGAGGACTGATTAGCAATTTGTGATATGCAAGGATGCCATTTTTCAAAAAACCTTGCTCGTGAAAACACCGCTGAGCCATTTAATGGAGCACTTTACATTATGGCTTTAGGCTATTGTCTTTAAAAGACTGTACCTGTAATATTCTTATGGACATTCCACAGAAATTGCTCAATAGGGCTTGGTGGGATAAAGTTTAAACTTATTTGAAATGTAGCTTCTGTATACTTTATCAAAACCCAGCTGCCTTTAGTTTGGCTAGCAGTGGCTTTTGATAGGCAAACCTTTTGCTGAATTATACCATACTTCCACTTTCTATATATGTATTGAAGCTCACTGCAGGACTTTGGCTCTTCAAGTCTACACTGCAAATCAGGAATTGTTGCTGGAAATAATGCAAATTTATGTAGCAATAATAAATCATCTGGAACCTTTTATCTTTTACTTTGTAGAAGTGAAATTGTAAGGGAGGTGAGAACTCTTTGCTTGCTTCTTTAGAATGGTCTTCAAAAAGACTGGAGGTCCATAGTGAACATGGACTTTATCTTTGGGGTTGAGCAACTCACTGACATCACCATTAACATGTCTTTTGTTTCACTCTATTTCTGGAGAAAGTGGTCATAATGATATACAGTTTCTGACATAGCTGGAACCCCGATGCAGAAGCTTTCTAGGATACTCTAAACAAAAAGAAGGAGAAAGCATGCTTAGCGAGGCTTCCAGAACGCTTTGCAACCCTTCAAAAATAGCTTTGCTTAAGGTCTCATGACTGAGATGGACTTAGAATGGAGGATGTTCTGATTCACTGCCTAACTGCCTTTCTCATAAGGATGCAGTGAGAAAATTTTAATCTCTGCAAAACCAAGTTGGATCCACCTCATTTCTAGACCCAAACTTTGTTTTCCAGTTTCTTCCACCATACCAAATTTGGTCCCATTCTGTTCAGGTTTTGGAGAATTATCCTGTTGATAGGTCAAGTCTTGAACCTCCCTATGTATATTTTTTTCTGATATTCCATTGGGTTGGAAAAAATAAAAATGGAACAGATTTTCTTCAGAGTTCCTTATCAGTATTTTTAAAGGCTTCCCTGTTTGTTTTCAGAACTCAAGATCCTTTTCCTACTTTCCTATTTGAGAACTGGTGCCACCGTTTCCCTTCATCCATATGGTATTTTAAAGCAGGGGTTATAGCATGATGGTTTCTCGTCTCCCGACTAGTTAAAATAATAGCAGATTTATACAAATGATTCCTTCAGTGATAATATACTTAAAATCTAGAAGTTATTTTATTAGAATATATCAAATTATAATGAAATATAAATTGTATAACAATTCTAAAATAAAGGTAATTGTCACAATAATATGCTATTATCTACTTTTTCTTTCTTCTGAAGATATATCAGTGATTGGTATGAGCTCTTGATCCTATAGCACTTGTAATTAAGGACTGAGTAGACTTGATCTGCTTTGATGAAAGAACATTGGGGGTTGAAAGAAGACTGGCCTAGTTGTAAAAATGAATAGGAGTAAAATATGTGTGTCTCTAGCATTATAGATGTATAATGTTAGAGAGAAGTTGTGTTATTTTTTTAGAAAATTACAGTTTACCCTCCACTGAGAAGAATGTTATTTGATTAGAGAACCAAATATAAGCATATATATAAGGTTACATATTTTAAAATATAGGGATTCATTATAAAAGAATATAGAGAGTTTTTTACTCTCTATAAACTTAAAGTATGCTGCAATATAGAAGTGCTGCAGTGGTAGTGAATATATGTAGTTTGGGTTTGGACTATTTGGGTTGCTCATGGAGAAGTGAGATCTGTTGGTGAGTTATGGAATACTGCCTGCCCTATATGTGGTTGGGTGGCCTGTGCTGTTGGATGTAATATATTCTGCAGATTGACATGTTGTTACTTGGTTCTTGTTATGTGGATACAGTGCCTTATTTTGCTTAGCTGGGTTTTGATTAATAGTTGTATAATAATGAAGAGAACAGCACTGATCATGACAGCATTCCCTCTGTAGCACACAACTGGTAACCAACACCTAGATAAACTAGAGATAGTGCTGGATCAGCATAACCAGATAATGACATAGTAATCACATGGAAAATACACCCAACACCGCAGCCCACACAGTTACATACAAGGCTAGTAGGACAGGCACTATATATTTCAGTCCACAACTAATCAATAAACCTTGCTTCTCCAAGTTCATAGCACTGAAAATGTTTTTTAGGCAGGTAATGAAATATCTGCAAATGAAAAAAACATCTCGGAGAATCCTTGCACCCCAACATACATGCGTATTGTGTAGCGAATGCCAAAACATGAAGTTTTGAACGTCTGTTTTGATCATTATTCAGTAAGTGGATTAAAAGAGGTATTCATGTAGTAATGTTTGTTTTAAAAAGGACAGTTCATGTTATTTTTATTTTTTGTCTGAATATATTCTCTGTGCATACTGTATATTGTAGGACAGCACAATACCCAGAGACATTACCATGCAAAAATATCAAAAACAACAACACTGTTGACACTGTAAAGCCTAACACATTTATTACGTCATATGCTTCCATGAGGTACAATACATTTTATTAGATGCATAAGGCTTAGTTGTTAAACAGGAAAGTCAATGTGAGATGTAGCAGATTCTCTTTATACTGCACAGGGGATTTGAACTTGAACTCTCAAGAGGAATTGCAGAAAAGCTAAAGGGTGCAATTCTGTGCATGCCTTAATGTCCCACCATTAGCTGTGGAGGCAATATTTTGAGATGATTGAAAAGTATGGTGGGTAAGGGTACGACTATCTTATCTCTGCTGCGAAGAGCTAGATGGCCACTAGATGTAGACCAGTGTTGTCCAAACTTGGCCACTTTAAGGTGAGTGGACTTCAACTCCCAGAATTCCCC